TTATAGTCTGTGGAGACTGGAATCTTGTACAAGATTATAATCTTGATTGTTACAACTATGTGCGTGAGAATAATAGAAAAAGTAAATCTGAAGTAGAAAAATTAAAGGACAGATTCAATTTAGTTGACCCATGGCGCGTTTGCAATCCAGATGTAAAAATGTTCTCTTGGGCTAAAAAATCTCCTATCAAGCAGGCTAGATTAGATTTCTTTCTAATATCAGAAGAGCTTATGTCAAGACTAGATACGGTAAATATCCTCCCAGGCTATAGAACAGATCATTCAATAATTGAACTTCAACTAAGATTTGACAACTTTTCTAAAGGAAAAGGCTTTTGGCGCTTTAATAATTCGTTGTTGAAAGATCCTGATTTTGTTAAGAAGGTCAAACAAATTATTTCTGATACTCAGGTAGAATACTTGATAGGTGAAAACAGCTCATCAACAATTGACGATAATCTATTACTAGAAATTATTTTAATGAAAATTAGAGAGTTTGCAATTTATTTTTCCAGTAAAAAATCCAGTGAGAGGAAAAAAAAGAAAGAACTTCTTCAAACGCAAATAAAATTTATGCACGAAATGTTTAACAAGCACCATCTACAAATTTATGGAAATTTACTGGATGAGCTACAGGCTGAACTTGAAAATATTAGAAAATATGAACTAGAAGGGCTTTTGATACGAACACATAGTAAATGGATTGAGGATGGTGAAAAACCAACAAAATATTTTTGTGCTCTAGAAAAAAGAAACTATGTAAATAAAAATATAACAAAAATTATTGATAGTAGAGGTAATCCAATTGTAAATCAAAAAGAAATATTAGATAATCTTAAACAATTTTATCAGTCTCTATACAGAAATTTAGATGATTCACTAATTGATGTTGATTTAAACACAGTTTTAGTAGATTGTAAAGTTCCCAAACTCAGCACAGATACACAAGCACTAATAGATAATGATATCTCCCAGTCTGAAATTTTAAATGCTTTGAAAAATATGAAAAATAACAAGACCCCTGGAACAGATGGATTCACTACAGAGTTTTTGAAATTTTTTTGGTCTGATTTAAGCAAATTTTTGATAAATTCATTTAATTGCAGTTATAATAAAGGATATTTAGCAATGACTCAAACTCAAGGTATAATTTCTGTAATTCCAAAGGGAAATAAACCCAGAGAATACTTGAAAAATTGGAGACCTATCTCTCTTCTTAATGTTACTTATAAGTTGCTGTCTAGTGTTTTAGCCGAACGAATTAAAAGTGTTCTCCCCTCGCTTATTCATGAAAACCAAAAGGGATTTCTTAAAGATAGATATATTGGTGAAAATTCTAGACTACTCTATGATGTTATTCACTACTGTAATGAGGAAAAGATCCCATGACTTGTTCTTCTCATTGATTTTGAGAAAGCATTTGACTCAGTTTCATGGAGATTTATTTTTAAGTTCTACAATTCTTTGGTTTTGGTGAAAAGTTCATAAAGTGGATTAAATTGTTGTTTTCTAATGCAAAGTTGTGTGTTATCCAGCATGGCATATTTTCAGAATTTTTTGATATTGGAAGGGGATGTAGACAGGGGGACCCTATTTCACCCTATTTATTTGTACTTTGTGCTGAGATCATGGGTATTATGATAAAAAACAATCCTCAGGCTGATATCAAAGGAATTTTTTTTAAAAGAAATGAATATAGACTATTGCAATATGCGGATGATACAGTCGTCCTTTTGGATGGTACAAAACCCTCTCTTACTTGCGCTCTATCATTGGTAGATCAGTTTTCTAAATATTCTGGTCTTAAATCAAACTATGAAAAAACTCGATGCATAAAAATTGGCTCCATGTCTCAAGAAAATATCAATATCTGCTCAGATTTTAATCTCCATTGGTCTCAGGAACCATTCACTGTATTAGGTATAACTTATTCTGTAGATTTGAACCCAAACTCTATGAATGAACTTAATTTCCAACCTAAACTGGTCGAAATGAAAAAAATAATTGCCTCTTGGTCAAAAAGACTGTTGACAACAGCCGGCAAAATTACAGTAGTAAAGTCAATCATTTTTCCTAAAATTACCCACCTGTTAATTTCCTTGCCGAATCCTCCCCTTAAATTTTTACAGGATCTTGAGAAAATGTTTTTCAATTTTATCTGGAGCAATAAACCTCCCAAGGTAGCAAAGAATTGTATAATACAGTGCCATGAAAAAGGTGGCTTAAGAATGATAAGTGTTAAAGATTTTTGTAAGGGTTTAAAAATTACATGGATTCGTAGATTGTTTAGCAATGTTAATGCTTCTGCATGGAAAACTTTGCTTTATAGTATAACACCAGAAGTAGAATTTCTTCCCTGTTATGGTAACAGTTTTACAAGATTAATTTCCAATAGAATTTCAAATCATTTTTGGAAAGATGTGTTTGATGCCTTTTACGAATTAAGAAATATAATTGAGTCTGACAGCTTGTCTTATGTTAGATCCTCTTTGGTACAATGACAATATTAAGATATCTAACAACTGTATATACTTTAAACATTGGGCTGAAAAAGGTGTAAAGTACATAAAAGATTTGTTTTTTCCTGATGGCCAGCCTATGAGATTTGAAGAATTCTGTGAGGTATATAATCTGTCAACCCCTTTTACTTTATTTCATGGTGTCATACAAAATGTCAGAAAATTGAATTTAACTTATACTGTTAAGGATGTTCTTTATAACTCTCCCTATTATCCCAATTTCTTCAAAACAATTTTCAAGAGTCAAAAGGGATCAAGAGATTTTTATGATGTATTAATTTCATCGAGATGGAATAAACCTAAATATGAAAGTAAATGGGAAAATGCTTTAGATTTGAATGTAAACCAAATGTCGTGGAAAACTCATAATAAGATTATTTTTAGTATCACTGAAGATGTACAACTTAGATGGTTTCAATATCGAATTGTTCATCGAATTTTGAGCACCAATGTTTATTTAAAAAAAATAGGGATTGTAAATTCTGATCTCTGTACTTTTTGTGGTATGCATCCTGAATCAATCACCCACTTGTTTTGGGAATGTTTATATGTTGATATACTATGGAATAATCTAGTAGAATGGATAAATGATAAAACTGACCAGAACATTGAAATAAACCTTATAGATGTTATACTCGGTAGAGATGGTAAAAACCATATTATACTGAACCTTTTAATATGTATAGTAAAAAGACATATTTATAAGAAAAGACTTTGTAAGACATTACCAACCATTGATGGAGCTAAAAAAGAAATTAGTTATTACTATAAAATTGAGAGATTTATGTATAAAAAAAATAATGATCTGCCTATATTTGAAAAGAGATGGGGTGTTTTTTCCCCTCTGTTTTCTAATGGTTAAAATTGGATTTGTACATGCTTATAATAACAATGTACCTGTTTAAAATCACTATGCTATCCATTTTTTTTTTTTTTTTTTTGTTTTTTGGATAACTTATCTGTCAATACATACACATATTGTATGAAAGTGGTGTGAAAGGATTTGTTAGTTGTTTTTTTGTCTTTTTTTTTCATTGAAAAATTGTCCTGGTCGAATTTATAGTGTTCATATTAATAGTAGTTCACTTACAAATAATAGTGCCAAGTAACATGTTCACACATACATGCCAAAGAGAATAGTCATTTGATCAGTATTATCATATATCATAGAGATGTTAATGCTATTTCTTGGAAATATTTTTCATCTTAAAAGAATGACTACAATGCATACATCATAAGATTTTATAAAAAATTTTATATTCTATGTATATGTACTATGCATTACAATGTCTTTAAATTCCTCTGTTTGTCAGTTTGGTGAATCCAGGGCTCCCCAACCTTGGCGCCATTCATGTAATCATATACTGCTGGGGCAATAAAAAAAAAAAAAAAAAAAAAATATCTAAAACTATATGCATTCTGAACACCTTGTTCACCCATTTTCTTTCCGAGTTTCATTTTTTGTAATGAAAAGGCAGCTGTCAATGTAAATTAATTATAATAGAATTGTAATAGAATAAAACTTGGCTTGAATACATGAATAATGTACATGCCTAAAATGTCAAAAAGCCTGGATATTTGGACTCTTGGGGAATGGTCATATAGAGTTGAGAAGTCTCAAGTTTCTATTCTATTAATTTTGCATTGAAAACTAAGAATTTTTCACGAAAAAGTATTAAACTGAAGCTATTTTTTTTAAAACAGAAATGCGAATTTGTAAACAAAACGTAAGTGCAAGTTTAATTGTGTCTTTGTCTCTGTCTCTCTGACCATCTAAGCAAAATATTCTGGACATTTAAAAATTGATATTGTTTGTTTGAGTATGAAGGTGTAGAAAGTGTAAATATTAAATTCATTTTCAACATAGGGTACCTGACATTTATCCCCAAGAAAAAAATAAAGATAATGGGAGCATGCATGAACATATATTACAATTCACTGCAGTTTCATAAATGGGGAAAATATGAATACATTTAAACAAAGTGTTCAGCCAATTTATCTTGGACTTTTAAATGTTAAGAATGCTGAAATTCATTACCGATTTAGTAAATCATTGTAGATTTTTTATTATCTGTATATTATCCAGACAGAGCACCTGCACTTTATAAATACCACAAAATCAGGACTCTTTACTATACAATGTGCCTAAACAGCAAACACAGACTTCGAAAATTAAAATGTATGATGTTAGAGAATGATAGGTACAGTAAAAACTTAAAAGAAGCAAGGTAAAGAATTAAACTATTTAACATTTTGTTGTTGATTTGAAGGTAACCGGTTTTCTGAAAATTTTGGAAATTCTTTATTAGCCCAAGATAGGACCTTTGCATTGCATAATATATTCCTTGGCATTTAATTTCAGTTACACTTATAGAATACGATAGTTCCACTCTTTTTAAACACACACACTAATATTACAATCATAAATAAATAACCTATTTTGAGACATTCCCTACATTTAATCAAGAGCGACAACTCAAAAACTAATGTCCATGATGCCGCATTAATGAGCCGGCTTTATGGGCTTTAATAAGGTCTTCATATAACTCGGCCATATCTGTGAGGTCCAGCAGCACGTAGTGCGGTACGGTATAGTACCCTAACACCAGGATTCAGAAACAGGTACTTGTATGTTTCTCAAAATGAAATTATGTGCAATGTATTTACGTTGTTTTTTGTACGGAAGTGCACGTATATTTCGGACTAGTACGATATATGTTGTCATATGTGTTTTTTATTCGGGGTAAACATTGTTTTTAAAGTCTGCCATGCACGGTGTGAATGAACTTGATAAGATCTTATAATCAGCTGTTTTATACAAACCAATGTTCTGAATACATATCATTTGACCTGCATGCTGACCTTCGAGAAAACAATAATCAATAAAATCTGGGAAGTTGGCAAGGTACGTCTCATAAAACCTCATCACACGCCTCGCGTTTGTTACGTACAGAATTTAATATTTACTTTAAGACGTATAACAGTGTTGAATACTAGTATACCTGTGTTGATTAAATATGTTATCTTTTTATGTAAATTTTTTAAAAACTTCATATTTTTAAACTTGGATTTTTTTTTATCAGGTCCTATGGACATTGGACCTGGATGCTATATACATTTACCTTTTTTGCAATGGAAGGTCAACTCCCGGTCATATGTAACGGACAAATGAAGGCAATGGGCATTTTTCATGGTGTCTAGTCTTTCGTTCAAAAAATCATCTGAGCAATATTGGGTGTTGCTAAAACGCGGAACGGAAAACGGAACGGAAAGCGGAACGGAACGGAAAACGGAAAATAAATGTCAAGCAAATAACCTTGATTCGATATAAATCAGACATAAAAAGCATTATTCATGATACAAAGTCATATATAATGAAAAAATATCATTATCGTAAAATATGATATATTCATGAATCATGCGCCCCTCAGAACTTGCACAGGTACATGCGATGGTCAATGAAATACATATTGTGATAGATGTACAATGTACTAACTAGACTCAAATCCTGAGTATCAATCTTTTATCTATTTATTTATGAACATTTTATTTATTTATTTATAAACATTTATAAACAAAAAAAATCTTGTTCAGAAATAGGTTGAATGGAAAAGGACTACTAGTAAGTATACATACACCTGTGTATCAGTTAAGAAAAAAGAACTAGTTTTGACATTCATATTATGCATGCATTGGCGAATCCAGGAATCTTGAAAAGGAGGGCAGCTAAGGTCGGAGTAGGTGCCCTCAGTCGCTCAAGAAATTGATTTATTAACTGAATCTTATTTATATTTTGGTCACAAAAAGGGGAGGGGTCCTGGTCCCCAATAAATCCATGAGTGGCATAACATGCAAATTGAGTTTATGAATTTATAGCTGAAATATAAGAAAACATTTCTTGCAAAAGAATTTAATAGGATGTTTATTTTTTTCCCTTTAATTGCAACTTTTCAAATCTGAGCGGAAAAACAAACTCTAAATGTTTTACGGTCGGGGTCATACCCCCCCCCCCCCTTCCAAAAAATCACACTTTAACTTCATTGAATGTAAAGATGATATATTAATTTTACTACAGTTAAGATTTACAACTCTATCTCTCTAATAATTTAGTTAACAGGAAGCGATTCTATTTAAATTTTGTATAAAATTTAACAACCAGTTTTACAATCGAAGTGTTTATTCGGGTTTGCCTGAAAGGGGTGCTCTTATAGTAATCTTAAATTTTTTTTACTTTTTATTTTTTTTACCAATTACCATTATTCATTTAGATACCAAATATTGCCCCCCCCCCCTTCAACTGTTTACCAAATATAACCTTTTTACTATAGAAAGGTTCATTGAAACCCCCAAAACTTTCTGTCTGTTAAATTAATGTAGTAAGTTGGTGTAAAAAATAGTACTGAAAGAAATTGGAGTTGGAATCTATCCTCAATTGTCTTTTTTCGCTTTTCAAGTTCGACTTCTCCCCCCCCCCCCCTTTTTTTTTAAAGGGATGCTACGTCACTACTATGTCAGCGGTTTTCGGAAGAGACTTAACATGACTAAATCAACTTGTATTTATTAAGAAGTGATTAAATATGTATAATATACATCGTTTCTGAGAAAATTTATGCATCTTAAATGATTGAATCGAAAATAATATTTTCCGTTTTCCGTTCCGTTCCGTTTTCCGTTCCGCGTTTTAGCAACACCCAGCAATATTGGACACTGCCGTCGCATGTCACGGTTTTTCTACATATCCATTGTATTTTGTGAAAAATGGACGATCATCACGATGAGAGAAACATTCAGAAACACAATGATTTTTAGAAACTTTCAAAATATCAGTCGACCATATACTTATTTAACACTATAGAAATTTAGGATGCAATTTTTTCAATTAAGCTTGCTGCAGACCGGCCCTTCCCCCTTTTCTTAGGATGACTTTTAATCGGACTTCTCTTTAACCACATTGTATATAGCTTGTATTTCCGATATCAAACATTGAGGGTTGTTGTGTCGAGTGGTATATCAAAACCCGTTTTGTTGTAAGGGAAGACTTAAAACTTCCTTGATTTTTTTTCAATTATTGTTTGGAAAAAATGTCCTAAATCGAAAGACATGGTGCAGCATACGTACACTCGAATTTCTTTGGACGTATCACTATATGGGTTCTTCAGTCGATTGATTATTTAGCTCAACAGAAAGTTTTTCGAGAGTTAACCATACATTTGTAGATTAACAGTTATTTATCGTCATGTATTTTCAGAAATGTCTGGGAAGCTGATCGTGGTCACCTGTGGCGGGGGAAATGGCGCCCACTGTTTGGCGGGACTGGCCGCCATGAGGCCTGATGTGGAGAGCCGCGTTCTGACGCTGTACTCAGACGAGGCCGAGCGATGGTCGGCTAAACTGGAGTCCGACATGATTATCACTGTACACCAAGACGACGGGGGAAAGAAAACAATGAATACTAGACCCTCAATCGTCACCAAAGACCCTAAACAAGCGGTCCCAGGTGCCGACTATATATTTATCGTCGTCCCCGCCTTTGCTCACGCACAATATTTTAAAGAAATGGCGCCGTACATTGGCGAAAACACCGTAATTGTCGGCTTGCCAGGTCAAGCAGGGTTTGAATTTGAATGTGTGCACTACCTTGGTGACAAGGCCAAAACGTGTACGATTGTTACATTTGAATCTCTTCCTTGGGCATGCAGGCTGATAGAATTCGGCAAAAACGTGGAGATTTTGGGCTTTAAAGATACACTGGGTGCTTCAATCTTGAAAGGTAAACAATGCAACCTGACGAGACCCATCGTAGAAACTAACCAATTTATTCTAGGGGATAAACCGAAAGTAAGACGGGTCCAAAACTATATAGCTATAACTTTAATGGCTAAATCTATAGTACATCCGCCGATAATGTACGGCAAATGGTCATCATGGGACGGGAAGCCTCTATCAGAGAAACCTTTATTTTATCAAGGAATAGACGAAAGACAGGCCAAGTTACTGTCTGGAGTTAGCGACGAATGTGTCGCTACCGCTAAAGCGATAGAGAAGAAGATTGCAGGGCTCGACATGTCTGACGTCATCCACGTGTTTGACTGGTACCTAAATTACTACAGCGATCAAATCACAGACAAACGCAACCTAATGATGGCCATGCGAACCAACAAAGCGTATGATGGTTTAGTTCACCCTATGAAGGAGATAGAACCTGGAAAGTACGTGCCAGATTTCACCTACAGATACATGGCTGAGGACGTCCCAGAAGGCATTGTTCCAATGAAAGGAATCGCCGAATTGGCGGGAGTTCCTACACCTTATTTAGACGAGGTGATCACGTGGTGTCAGGGCAAGCTAAATAAGGAGTACGTGGTAGGAGATAAACTGACAGGTAAAGACGTCAACGAGACGAGAGCTCCTCAGCGGTACGGCCTCAACAAGTTAGAGGATCTGTTTCAAGGAAACTTTGAAACAACTCCGTAATGTTCAATGACGTTTCAGCTCGCGGGTATATTCGAATGTTATTGAAAGCATGTTATGATCTGGGTATTTTCTGCTTATTTTAGATAACTTATTATTAATATATCTTTATATGATTATACAAACTTAGGAATGTTATTTGTCTCATTTCAGGTTGACTTATCAATATATACTGTATATAATTATGCAAATTTAAGAATGTTATTTGCTTTTTTTTCGAATGCATGCTAACTGGAAAAAGTATGTTAAAGTTTTAGAATTTTATACAATAATTTTTAATTAAAAAAATTCCACCAAAGATTTTTGTTCTTTAATTTTAGATGTTCACCTCTCCCCCCTTTCCCCTTGGGATGTCATAATTGCACCTGTAATCCACATAAAAAGAATAAAATTAATTTTAATGAAAACCACCAACCCCATTAAGCTTCTGGTTCATAGGAAGATACTTCACTTTACTTCAGAAAAAAAAAAACAAATATATCTATACATGTTCAATATTTTTAGATTATTAAACATTTTTAAATGTATGAACCCATCTCAATTCAACACAAATGTATAACTATAATGGAAATTTTCAAATTAGAGCACAGAAGTATTAATGCATTCACTGAAACATTTGAATGATCAGAATATCCGTAGTGTACAATTGCGCAAATTCATTTTATTCATATTGGTTATAATACAAATGTATAATTCTACTTAATATTAAGTTTTTAGAGTAAATTGCAAATGAAACTGGAAAATCAAAGCAAAAAAAAAAAAATCTTTATAGTTAAAAAAATTCATTTCATTGCTCAAAATTAAAAAAAAAGTAAGTAGAATCTGGAGATATTTTTTTACAGACAAAACAAACAATTGTACAACTGACACACCAAAACATCCTCATCTGATTTTCAAAGAAAACAACTTGAAATAATATAAATCTAAATTAACATCACTGACTAGTTCCCATAGCTGTTTACTTCACTTTTAAAATGTCGGCACAAAATTTAAAAGTTTTTCTTCAAGATAAATATTACATGGTACCTTGCATATAATATTTAATTCTTATGTCCATCATGTAAAGATCATCCTCATCCATATTTATAAACCAGGAACGCACTCCTTCCCGTGTATTTTGTTGCAAATTTTTTGCCATCGGGAGTTGGGTCTGAGAATGCCACTTGCTTTTTGGAAATATACATGCCATAATGAAAGTGTTCCCTGCAAAGAAAGAAAATGATCCCTCTTTAGACCTGAATGTTTTAAAGGATCACTTCATTATAAATAAGGATCTGACCTATAGGACCGGGATTGGTTTTTTCTCTACAAAAAGCTTGACGATTTCCGTTCCAATTAATGACATTAGGCTGAATACATATAACAATTTGTTTTTCCTAAATCTTTATTTCAGTGAGTAGGGGTAGGAGGAACCCTTTCATTGATTTTCTGAGTTTGTTATCTCCAAATATAATAATTGATATTTGTCTTTGCTTCTCATTGTGCATAAAGGTAATGTCTACTGTCTCTAAAATTCTATTCTTTATGTTTAGGCTATTTATACGGGGATATAATAAAACATGTCATTAATGTGTGCAAATTATATAGGCCTAAATGAAATTCCAGGGAGTGCTTTTACCGAAATATGAAGCCAAAATCAATGTGATTAAATTCTAAGGAATATATACAATTGAAATTCATCGCTACTCAATGCTGCCAAGAATACCTGAATTGAGTAACACATAGTGAGTTATTCTTAAAGTGTGCTTATACTGAGGTTCGTTCCGCCTGACTGACAACTTTACATTGGATTGTTACGATTTGATATCTCTTTAGTGTTTCTTATATCAAGAATGGGCATGCATAAGGGATTAGATAATTGAAAGAAAAATACACAAGTCTATAAAAAAAATTAAAATAGTCTTTGAAAAGGCGAAATTTAAAACTTTAAAAGTGTTGTACCAGGTGGATTCGAACCCCTGACTTCAAAAAGAAAGTATCCAAGGTGTAAAAGTCAGCGCACATATCAACTGAGCTAGTCTGACTATAAAAATTAGTGTTGGCAAATCGGACGATTTTTATTAACCGGTTACTCGCTTAATCTTCCGATCGAGTAGCCGGTTAATCGGATGATTTTATGTTATAGTTTCCATATTTTATTATTATTCCTTTTGATTATTGGTTGAAATAAACAACAAATATAAGATATATGAACTTTATTTGCAAATACAAACTCAAAAAATTTTTTTTAGTCTCCTGCAAGTCGCTGGTTATCGAATTAGGTTTCAATTTAAAATAATTTAGCATATTTGTAGTTCCACCCATATATACGACAAATCCGATTTACATAATTTGAATTTGGCAGATTTCGAGTTCTTTAACAATATTTCCAAGCTCTTGGTGTTTGCGGCGGCATCTTGTTAAGGTAAAAAATATGTTCCTTTAACACAGGTATATTACAATGAGGTAATTATAACTCAGGTTTTCAAAACGCGCACCCCTGGCAATTAAAACCATCAATTAAACGAAACAAATCGATCCTATTTGTGAACCACTAGAGCAAGCCTAACGGTAATTAAATTAGGGAAATGTGTCAATTTACATTTACAAATGACATAAAAAAAAATATTTATACGTATTTAATATTATGAAATATGAAAAATGTATTTTTATCCGAGTAACCAAATAGCAGTTTTACTAACCGATACTCGCATCGTTCGACGGTTAACCGGGTACTCGTTGCCAACACTAATAAAAATGAATGGCATAAATTAAAAGAAGATTATGAAAATCAGGTTTCCTTATTTTTTGTGAATTTCGACCCCAGGGCAGGGGTGCCCCTTAAAAAATCTTATCTTAAATTATTCCTTACATCCCAGCCTATTAAAATATCACAATCTTATTTAGGGGCAGGCCTGCCCTGATGGACTTCAAGGCCACAATTTATGCAAAAATCAACGCTTTAACGGACAAAATGGTGTTTCAGTCAACTTTTGAGGTTTATTGTAAAGTTGTAAATAATAAATTTTAGGTATAAAATACAAATTTGAAAAATTTAGACATATATACAGTAGAAAACAACAAATAAAGATTGATTTTTAAATATAACTTTTTCCGGGAATTGTTCTCTCCTATTGGTCAATTCTTTTGTTAAAGTGAATACATCCTTTATACAATGTATACATATTATTGGCAATCATTCACACTTAACGGAAGCCTAACGATTCCTCACCGTACACAGTCCAGCAGTCTGCTGGCCACTCCTTTTTTCCGATACAGCTTGTGGACCCAGATTTTGCTGATTCCCACTGAAGCTGGTTCTGGTTCTGTGTCACAATACCAGGGCCGGGAACCAGACTCCTGACTGCTCGACTGAGAGTCCGCAATCACCGGGTAACCCTGTAATTAGAAGTCCACAGTGTTATGGTTAGGAATACCAGTAGGTTGAAACAATTTGGATTAGAGTTTATTTTTTTTACCTTTCTTATAAATACCAAGCCAACTGTCAACAGAAGATAATAGAGCCCCATCCAAATTTCCAATAAATACTCAGGAGTAGAGAATATATGTCATACCAGAAAGACATGCACCAGACTGACCCCCAGCTCAATTTTCATTGCATCATTTTAAGCCTTACAAATGTTGAACCAATGGTGCAATGGTTCACCCCAAAGTGATCCCTGTGGTAGCCACTGATTTGTTCACAACTCCAAACAATTCCTTTAAATATTTAAAGACTGCCACCCAATCAACTCACCTGTGTAATATTTTCAGCAACACAGCATCCAATTATCTTCTTCTCATCAGATATCATCAGAAACACCTACAAATACAAGGTGATTATAATAGTTTTTTCTCCAAAGTGTAATGCTACAATTTCTAGCCTGAATGTTTTTAACCAACATTCACATAGGTACATTAATATACAAATCATGTCTTACCTTACAGTCAGGTCTGAAGATGAAAGTGGTGTCTGGAAATCCCAGCTCATTTCCCATTATCTTATTGATTTCCTCTACCTAGAAAAATTAACAATGAAATTCACAAAATTTGTTTGGAAAATTACATATAAATACAGATAACAAATATGAATATTATTTTCACACACAGTATCGAGCTTTCTCAAAGGGTTTATGAGGAGAGCAGCATATCAGAAACCCTTGGCTAGCGAAGGTGCTTTTATTTGTGATTCCTCAGTTTGAAATCAATCTGTGATGATCAATTTTTGCAACCAGGGCTGTCACAGCACTTTTTGGTATGGGGCCAGGTCCCTCTCCATTGGGAAAATTATCGATATTTTTTCTCAAATTGGGAAAATTTAAGATACTTTAATATGTCATTAAATGACTTCTGTATTTAGTACAATCTGTTGTTCACTTCTTAATTAAAGTTTTACAGCTAGCTCATGCACATGATTTTCTCAGGAACCAACCAAGATTTTCAGAATTATGAAGGGGCCAATTTTTAAAAATTTTATTTATGCATGTTGATTTAGATTTTTTTATTTGAAATTTTATAATGGTCAGGAAAATAAGACTTCATTTTTTTAACATGATTAAAATCAAGGTATTAACCCACAGTCAAAGATAAAAAAATTCAAGAATATTATTTAAAAAAAATTAAAATCAAATTTGGAAAAGGGAACCAAATTAAGTCATATGGATTTTTTATACTTTATTTCATAGATTAAATATTTGCAATATCTTAGAAGCAAAATTCTGTGTATGTTACTGACATCTTGTGTATTTGCGGGTATTAGTAAAACCCTGTGACCCAATTACAGCCGTAATGCAGAAGTCTAAATTATTTCATAATAATCTAAGCATTTACTTGGAAGGCTTATTATCTAATTACAAGATATCAACCAATGCTACTAGCTGTCATCACAATAATTTATAACCATTCTTTATAAATTTCTGAGCACTTTCAAATGCATCACTCGTAATGCCTAATGCCGCGCTGTATAACGGAACACTGTATAACCGACCCAAAAGTTGGGCTTCTTATTCCCCACAGGGGTTGAGTCCAGTTGTGAGAACCTTTTAATTAAAATAATCATCAGTGTCTTCCCAATTACGTGTTTATTAGAGATATAATTAAGCCAGCTTTAATCAATTACAGCAAATGTACTGACCAAAAAGCAAACAGCTCTTGCAAATCTCCCAAGTTGTTAATAATTACCGGTAATGCAATTGGGAATTTATATCCTAAAATTGGGAAAATCTGTGGCTTTTTGCCATTGGGAATGGGTCCGATATTCGGTTCAAATTTGAGGGGAGTGACGGCCCTGGCAACCAATGAAATATTCTCCACAACTACACAGAAACCTTTATAAATATTTGCAAGTTAAAGAAAGTCACAAAAATGGTCGATATTTTTCACGCACAAAACTGGTTTACAGTAATACCCACAGCACATGCTACATAAATATTCACCTTCCTGATGGCATACTTTGGGTCATCGTAAGTCACCATGATAACTCGACTTCCATCATCATAGTCATGTACCACTCTCTCCTTCTTCCAACCCTGGCCAAAAAGAAGAGGTAACAAAATACCATTACTGAAAAAGTCAGTCACTTTATCTAACCAGAATCAAGTTTTTACTTTTAGCATTAATCTTAGATATATAAGCTGAAACATATTACAAACCTTAAATAATCAAAGACTAAGAAGCTCACTTCAACCAAAGGATCCATAATTTGGGCAATTTTTAAAACACCTAATTTTCTTGTAAGGTTAGGCCAAAATAAAAAATACCTTTGTTTCCCCTAACGCGACCGACTCAATTAAATCGCACCGACTGAAAAGATTTTTTGAATAAGATGATTCAAATATTTTTTTTATTGTTAGGCCAGCATTTTTTTATTTTTAGGTTTACAAACCCGCCGCTCAAGTTTTTGAATTTTCAGAAAAAAAATAAAATTGAGAAAAACAGATTTTTTTCTTTCCGATGTCAAATTTGAGTCGGGATCGAGATTTCAAATTTACAAACTCGTACTTCCGGTTTTAAATGAACATGGCGGGTAATGAAGGGAGATTTGTGTCAAGTCCATAGCAGCACTTTAGTCTAAAGCTTGGTTTAATGTAAATATTTATCGATAAGAGTGCCATTCAAAACGTTTCACCCGTTCAGAGAACAGTAAAATGCTGACGACTTTGTTGCAAAGTGACATGGTGGTGAGATAATTATGTATCCGTATTCAAAAGTAACTGTCTGTAATTGTAAATTATTTTCCTCCCAGAGGTTTAAAACTGCCCATGGTAGCTACTGTCAGAGACATTGTTTAGGTTTCTGTCATAGCTTACAGTCTTAGCATCATTCTTCAGAAAAGGGTCGCTAATGCATCAGATGTAATGAATAAAACTAGGGAGAAGTTAAGTCCATTTGATGAAGAAATAAACAATAGCCTAAAGGAATAAAATATTTCAACTATTTAAAAACAATGATACACAAATATATACAGGCATGTAGTATCGTTTATGGCAGCCAGAAAAATTATTTTACACTTAATTAAAAAAAATTCCACCCTACTCCTCAATACTCCTTGGGAATACTCCCTGTCTGTTTTATGAAAGGAATTATTACTTTTATAGGTCTCGAATATATTAATATTTTAGAATAATTTCTACCTAACACACATTAAAAACAAAAATGAAGATATATTAAAAGAGATTTAAAAAATTGATTTTTTAAAAAAAATCTGTATTTTGTCCAACATCAAAAGATTTATATCACTGCCCCCAACTGGTAGATGATGAAATAAACAATTAAAGGTTGTATTTTCCCCTTTGTAACCCTTATGTGTCCAGTGGCAAGAAGCCTGTTAGGAGAGCATAAAAAAAGCAAAAATTAATGTAGAAAAGTCGATATGTATCCAAAATATAATTTTTTTTTTATTTCCTCCTCCTACGGGACTTTTTCATTCTGATGTTCGTAAACCTAAAAATAAAAAAATGCTGGCCTTACATAAGTTTTATAAAATACAATTTATCAAAATCAGTTTTTATCACAACGGCCGACATTGTTCTACTGTGATTTTCAAGCATTTGTTGGAAACAAAATGACGTCCAGATGTGATTACAGGACATTAGCTCTTCAGAAAACACTGGCGAGGTCTTAATCTTATGCTTTTAGCTAATTGGAATTCTTCACTCTTGAAACAATTTGATAATAAAATTTATCATAACTAATTTAGAGTGTTTCGGAGATGTCTTGGCGTCTCCATGTGAGTGAATAAATTTTTGAAAGGGACGTTAAACAACAGACAAACAAATATTATTAGTTATGTAGACACTTAGAGGGGTAATACGGAAATATGTGGGGTTCTTGAAAAAATCCATATTGGGCGAGGCGTAAGCCGAGCGCAAGATGTATTTTTTCAAGGACCCCACATATTTCCGTATTACCCCTCTAAGTGTCTACATAAAGAATTTATCCTGCTGATAGTTCTCTAAAAGACTAAATATTTATAGTATCGATAAACCGCTTTCACTGAGCGTTCAATCAAGACGTTAGATGCATTGTCGTCAGATGCATTGTGACGTCAGTTATGAAGCTCCATGCTGGTCACGTGAAAGCAGTATATTGATGATGTGTAGTTGGTAGAATTTTTAATATACGGTGGGTAGGTCACGTGGAGGGGGCACATTAACAATGTTAGGTGGGTAGACAGTATAATATCGGTTCATGCAGTATTGCTCTCGACCAATGAAATTTAACGATTTTTATCAGAGGCAGGATAAGTCTGAATTTAAGGTACGTAATGCATGGTAAGGCCCGCCTCATGAGCAGATGAGGGGCCCACCTAGTGAACACTATATTCAATTTCACTGCATTTTATTTAATTTGAGTTTTGATCTAATAACCAGTTCATCTATGTTCCTATGTTTACTATATGCCATTATGGAACTATTGGATTTGTTATAAATATGCCTGCATATTCATCCTGATATATATAATTCAGATGGCCTTTCTTCCTGCCTTTATTTAGTAGTTAAACTTCGTGACTATGGTATTTTTATCATTTGTTGATTCTGTTTGGTTCAATAAAATATTGTTAACTCACTCTTTCAAAATGGTTTTGAAATTAGGATTCAGCTTCCTGAGACGTCCAGTGTATTTTTCTTTAATTAGGCCCTTGAAGATTGGTTGTTTCTTTGCTTTTACAATGAAGCGCATTGAAGTGGTAAAATTTTCCTTTTGGACGAAAAGTTCTGAGTCATGTTTTGAACGTCAATTATAACATAACGACACGCCCATTTCTTTAGAAACGAGAAAGACATATTCATCGTAATGTTTTAGGACACAACACTTTCCGCGACAAGCAACATGAGTTACACTGAATGAGGAATTTCAGAATAAGAAAGAGCTATGTATAGAGTTCTCGCTTATGTAAAACACGCATTGCAACGAATTTGTACATAATTATGATTTTATCATGCTTATTGGAGTTAGCATAGCACATGTATCAGTCGAACACGTGCTTACTCGGTGTTTATGTAAACCGTCAATTTCATTGGATGTTATATTTATGAAAAACCTGTTCTACAGGTATTCGATTGAATCATTTGACCGATTTCTCCTTTCTAAAGAAATGGGCGTGTCTAAAGATAGCTCAAAACGTTCCATCCAAACAGAAAATTTTACCACTTCAATGCGTTTCATTGTAATCCCTTCGAGATTTGTTAGGACGACATTTAAACATTTCCCCATATTTCCAAATTTAGACGTACTCAGCACTTTTTTGCCGTTAAGAAGTGGGGGATCTTTTTTGAGCCAGCACCTTCTGCGACACTGGACATAAGTTTTTATGGCCCCCTTTGAAGGGCCGTTTTCAACTTTACTCATTGGGATTTGATCCTGCGACTTAAAATTGGCCACGTCTTAACTCCAAAGCAAAATGCTCCAGAACCACTGCAAATCTCATTGCCCTCGGAAAAGTACATTAGTCGTTATTACATGTAAGCTCTGAAGGCTGATGGAAGGTTTGAAAAATATACTCGTATATCCGATCTTTCCGTATTTGAGAATCTTGTCTATTTTATTCAATTTATATAAATCTAATGGCGTGAAATATTTAACAACTTCAACTAAATAACAGTTGTGAACTAATTAATCATAATTTTGCTTTTGAACGGTATATGTATGGTACTTAGCATTTTGATCACAAATCGCTTTCGTTTGTACTTATTTATAAAGAGAATTTTCCATTAAATTTTAGAATGTATTTTTAAAGCTGCTGTCAGAAAATAAAATTGTTTACCTACCTACCGACCCAACTTGAAAATTTAGGGTCGGGTTAGGGGAAACAAAGATATTTTTAATTCCGGCCTTATAAAAAACTCTTTAGTTCTCATTGCAAAAGTTTTAAATCATAATTTGGCAAGCAATCATTTTTTTTGGCTGCTCCAAAAATTCTAACATTGTCATCTATGTTTAGAATGTTAAACAGATTCAGCATCTGAAGTAAGTTTGAAAGTGTACATCCATAGATCATTAGATGTATCACTCATGCAAGTTTGATCCAGTTAGGGCCTAAATTGGCTGTTTAAAAGGACCTGGTCTTAAATAAAGTGATGTTCACTCAGAGAAAAAAAAAAAATTTTGATTTAATTTTTACGGTAGCACTCACAGGAAATTTGAGGGCATTAATGATGCTCTGGTGGAATTTGGCATGGGTTGTTTCATCAGTGGGCTCTGCCTGGGAGTAAACCATTCCACATGTGTCACACTGTGTGGCCCCGAATCTCTTCTGCCCAGCATCCTGTTAACAGACATCAACATAGTTAATTACAATGAACACTTAACATATCTAAAACAATACTGAAAATGTTAATTTAAAAAAAAGCAAAGTCAAGTTCTAACGATAAACTCACCAGAGTCATTTGATCATCCTTGTTTTCAATGAACTTTAGCTTCGGTGACCTTGAAATGGATCTGTTTGAACACAATAAATTGCAATTTAAAAACATGTATATACATGTACATCTTTATGAAAAGCTGGTATATTTACTTATTGCAGAATATTTCCATTTCTAATTTTTTTTCTGTGACAACTCTTTGAAAGTTAGCAGAGTTGATATCTTGATAATTCTGCCAGAATGTAAATTAGACAGGTTGATAGGTCAGAAGCTAAGGAGGCCTAATGTGCATGCAAATCTCGTGCGCATCTGTCTCTGTGTCTGACGCCAAGGAGGCCAAATATGCATGTCAACCTCGTGCGGCTGCCTTTGTGTTTGACGTCAGTGGGTGAGAACTATTAAAATTGGCATGGGAGTCCTTGTGTAATTTAAATCTATGTCTACATTTCTAAAATCTAAATCTACAATTTTATTTTACAATGAAATGGAAATATAAGGAATTACTGTCAAGTTAGTATAGTATGCCAGGGACATCAACGATAGTGGGAAAGATAATTTATGCAAAACGGGCTTCGCCACAGAAAGATATGCCGTAATTAACATCATTTTCTATAACTAAGATTCTGAAACATCAATGCATCATAATTTCCTAGCGTACAATGCGACATCATGACAGTCTGTACCTGGACTTGGTTTCCCTCAGTGTCCTCAGTCTGGACTTGGGACTGGGTGTTAACTTATTAAATATCGGGAAGTACTTCTGCTGGGGTGATGACGTGTTAGATGTAGAGGGACTCTCGGTACAATCACTGCTAGCTCTCTGTGTGATCCCTTGGTTTTCTTCGTTCTGTTTCCTCGGTGTCCCATCACGACTTTCCTCCAGCTCTTCAATAGGCTGAATGCCCTCCATGATCTCAGAGTTTGTGTCCGCAACGGACGAGGTGTCCTCTGTTATGAGTGATATCTTGTCTTCTGTTGTGACACTGGAGGTGGTATCAGACCCGAGTTCCTGGGATTGGTTAGCTGTAGACTGAGACCCAGGCCGGACCCGGATTGACGGACCAGAATGGATGGAGGCCGCTACGGATTGCTCGGATGACAGAGATCTCGGCGAGCAGCTCTCCTCCGTACCCTGAACCAGATTTTCCTCTCCTTCAACTCGAGAACTTTCAATTTCTTGTGAAAAAACCTTTTGAATGGATGCTAATGGATATGAATGCCTTACATTATTTCTTGAATGCAAGGCAGATTTTCGAATATTTTGAATCTTTCCCTTGGGAAATGGTGTAAGAGGCAAAGGTGATTTTTTGGACTTTGATTTTTCATTATTTTTCTTTTGTTTTCCTAAAACAATGTCCTTTCTGTTTGGAGTAAACTTAATATCAAAGCCCTTCCTAATAACAACTCCAGGAATGAACTTTTCAGCAGATCCAGGACACCTGCTTTTGAAGAATCGCTTTTCCCCTGAACTTGGTGTGGTAGTAGAATCTGTCTTTATCTGAGCCTTCGGTGTCAGGGGAGAGTCTGTCTTATATGGGTTTGGCTTTTTTATTGGTGGCTTTACTGAATTAGCTTCTTTATCACCTCTGAAAAAGACAGAAAATATTCAACAACTATTGAAATTCAACCTAAGACTTGTATACTCTAAAGTATTAATATGTCTACAGGTCATGAAGAGAGATTTCTGTCTCTCTTGAACAAACAGCTGAACAAGTTACTAGAAGTCAGATATAAGTCTCAGTAATAACTCAGTATTGGCAAAGTCAAGCACAAATGAATGTGGAAAAAAATATCATTCAACAAGATGGAGAAAATGCCACCAGTTCATGTATGTCATGTGATGAGAAGACACTATCTTCTGTGATATGAGGGCTACACCATTTAATTGGTACCTATCACAAAATATTTATAAACACTTTCCCTACATAGGAGCTATGCTAGCCTATCGTTTAAGTTCGTAGACTGTACATTGTCAATTTGACCTCTATTTGACGACTTTCAATGCATCCCAATTGCAGAAATTAGTTACCTCTTACTGAGGACATTTTTGTGACCTCTCTTGACCTCCAACTCATTGTGACCTCTCTTGACCTCCGTCTCACTGCCACTTGACTGACTCCCCTCCTGTGATAAGTTCTCCTCATCAGACAGTTTTTGTAACACCCTATTCGCAGCTCTTCGTCTTTTGGGAGAATGAGGGAAGGACTTTTTCTCCCTCTTTCCATAGAATGACTTTGTGGCTATGGTCTCCTCAGAGTCTGACTGAGAACTCACAGAGTTTCTCTCTGTATTATACTCAGGCACTTTATCTACCGTCTTCTTCTTTTTGGGTGGAGTGTTTTCAACTCCATCAAAATTATACAGAGTTCTGCCAAAGTAAAATAAAGTAAAATGTGAAGTAAAAAAAAACTTACTACCATGGATATTTCTCACAGCTGTTAAAAGTGAATTTACTGAACAATAATTTATTTCCCCCGAGATGTTACAATTACAATGAAAAAATGTTTCCACTTCAAAACAAATAATTGATCCAATTAAAAATTTCTTAAATTCATTATGATACACAAACAAGAAACACTAAAAAGTACATGATAAGGAGTTAAGTTGGAAGAATATCTTACGTCGCTTTATTTTCCTGCAGATCAGCAGTTTTCCTTTTACGTAACATTCTAGTTCGTGTTTCCATGCTTATTCTGGTTCGTGAACATCAACAAATAATTCAGTAGATGCAGATAATGACTAAGTTCTCTTCCTGTTGACAAACATTCTAAAAGAGATAAAAGAGAATTTACAAGACAGACGGTGAAGCCTGGGGCTATTCAAGGAATTTGTCAATTTCACTTTTATATATATAACAGAAACCTTTGCCGAGAATACCAGAATCTAATAGGTGTATGCTTTAAATGTGAGGAAGAGAAACGAAAAAGCTACGTTAATCAAGGCTACGCAGCTAAATGCAGTGACTGTACTCGTCGTAGTTATTGCTGTCATTATTATCGACAAAAGGTTTTGAAACTAGTGATGGGGAATCGGAAAAAAATCAGAATCGATTATCGGTAATAATCGGCTGGGCATAATCGATTATTAATCGATTATAATCGAAATTTTGAACTTTAATGAAATTAATATAGAAAAGTTAAAACTTAATATTCAGATTTCTGTCAGACTTTTACAAAAAAACATTTACTTACATAAAATATTCAAAAATAACAACTGAAATTTCTTTTTTAAAAGTGGAAAATAATATTTTGTTTACTTTAAAACAATATAGGACTATTAAAACAGAATGGGAATTTATTATAATTTTTTTTTTTACAAAGTTCATGCAGTGGGTATTTTACTGATATTAGTCCCACCTTTCATTTAATACATGTATCTATTTCTTAAAATTAGTTTTAATAATTAGTTAAAGTTGCAAGTTTTGAAAGTAATTATTCAGAAGTTAGACTTGCATTTATGATTATAATTACGTTTAAAGATTGACTAGACTAATTATGTTTTCCTTTCTATAGTAGGGGCAATCCGGGTAATTCCGGACAATCTTGGCCATGCGTAGATGTAAAGATTCTCTAATAAAGAAAAACATTGATTTGACTAAGATGTTATGTAATGTCTTTGGAAACAGCTTTTGACAACAGAGTGCGATCGATCTCATCTTCGAATTATCTCCCTTTGTTTTTCATAAGACGGATTTCACACAGCTGGTGAAATGGGGTAAATCCGGACGACATGGGGTAATTCCGGACAAAGGTTGGGGTAATTCCGGACGAGAAGATAATATATACTCGATTATCATTATATCGCGGGTTCCCTTGTATCGCGGTATATTTAAAAAAAAATCAGATACATAGTTCATATGGTTTTTTGTAAAAAGTTTGGCCATAGTTTGCTTTATTAATATCATTTGATGAAAAATAAATTTAAAAAATCAAATTACACTTTTTTATGCAAAAGATTTACGTACCGTGATAGAATGAGACACCTGTATACATATAATAATATATATATAACAATATAGTATAAAACAGATTTTAAAAAGTGCGCAATCGGCCGAAAAGGTCAGGGAGTAACACCCCCTCCCCCCGGGCGGGAGGTATTACGACTATAATAAAGACCATGATCATTTATTTCCATACGGCGTTCACTCCCTTTGTATACGCCACCACCTTATACTGATTCTTAGTAAATCCATTTGTTTTCTATGTGTATTTTTTCTCAAATATTTGCGTTTAAAAACAGAGATCCAACATTACTGTGAATATAAACCATGGTTATTGATTCTGCATTGTAGCCATCACCAATGTTTTATATTTTGATATTTACATGTTGTACAGATATAACATGATTGATATTTTCTAAATAAACAACAAAACATACAGTTATTAAAATCTTTTTTTTTCTCTAGTGCCAAACATAACAAAATTTTGATATCAACTGTCAAAGGGGTGACTCATTTTTTAGTTTTTAACTTAAATCACGCTAATTAATAACATTAATAACAAAACTCATTTGATTCAACAAAATAACAACAGTCAATTTATTTTGGTTTTTTACTCTTCAATGCTCGTTCTAGCTTTTTATTTTCTTTTTCTTGTTTCTTCAACGCGACCAATCTCTTCTCTTCGACTATTTCTGCACTAGTCAGGAGCCTGTGTCCAGTTTTCCTTGATGTAACTAAAGAATTGGATGCGTTTTGTACAGAGCTGATGATCTTTGGTGGAAGAAACAATGTGTTTATTTCTTCACTCCATGCGTTATCTACAGAAGCTGTTTCCATTGCGTTGGGGATAGTTGCTACTCCACTACTGTCAGGTGAAAATATCTCGCACTGACCTGAACTGATAAGATCTAGAAGTAAGGATGGATCCTCAATCGTTGGAGGTTGAGAATTCGCATCGCTGACAGAACGGCTTTCAAGAGGGGTTCGTGGTGCAATTGCAAGATTGGTTGGTTCAGGCGGATTGGTATCGTTTCCTGTTGGTGTGAGCTGCACATCTGTCGGACGAGATGGAGACATCATTTCACTTGGAACTGCTGATGGATCAAAAGGGAAAATTCCACACGCCCGAAAACCTGCAGTAATATTGGAAACAGTGAGGGCAGCGTCCCATGCTTTCCGGAATATTCCAGGAAATGTCCATTTATTGACAGCATTCAGTGAGTTTTGCGCGAGATAATCTGAGCATACTGTATTATACGCCGTGTTTAAGGGCCCAAATACTGCTCTATCCAGAGGTTGAAGCACGTGGGTTGTGTGTGGAGGTAGGCTTAGAATATGAATATTTTCCTGTATGGCAATTTCCAAAATTGCGAGCGTCTCATGCGATGAGTGCCCATCCAGTATCAACAGCTGGGGTCTGGCAGAGCCGCAATGCTTAAGGAATATATCTCTAAACCAAATTTCACCTAACGCGTCTGTCATCCATCCTTTGTCCTGGAAACTCCACATGCTGCCTATGGGACTCTGCTCTGTGTTGAATCCATGTAAAGACTTCGAGGTCTTTCCTTTTACAACAAACATGGGTGGCATGGATATTCCGAGTGCGTTCACACAGGCCATGATAGTGACATTGGTTCGATTAGATGTAGTACGACCAACAACATTCCTGGCACCTTTGAGTGCTAGTACCTTGACAGGATCATGTTCGAATTGTTTGCCTGTCTCATCACAATTCCAGATTACTGCAGGGCTGTTTACAATGTCCAAATTATGTAGCAAACATTGCAGGTCATCGAAGTACTTTCCAATAATTTCTGGGTTTGACATCCTAGCTCGTGTTGTTGCTAGCTTTTCTGGTTTTCGAATTGACAGTTCTGGGTGGCGCCTACGAAAACCATCGAACCAGTCCTTTCCTGGTGTCCCATTTTTGAAGGTAACTTTAATCTTTTTACTGAGTTCACCAACTCTTCCCAGCAGTTGTTTTCTTGATATACCCATACCTTGTCTTGCAGCTTCTGATACGGCTGTAGCAATTTTGTTTTCTATGTCCTTGGGGATACGCTGAGTGCGACCGGGTTTTCCTGGACTTGCATACTTTTTCTTTAAGGTATCTGACAAAGTTGATTTGGGCACTCCATATATCCGCTCTGCTTCTCTGATAGATTCCCCATTTTGCACAGCTTTTAATGCATCTGCCACCTTCTGGGGATCATAAGCATTTTTCTTTTTCTTCTTATAAATTCTGGGCATTCTGAAATGTTAATATATATATGTATATATATATATATATATATATATATATATATATATATATATATATATATATATATATATATATATATATATATATATATATATATATATATATATATATATATATATATATATATAGATAGATAGATAGATAGATAGATAGATAGATAGATAGATAAATCAAAAAAAAATTCACAGTGGTCGGTGATAAATATGAAAATTATTTTAAATAAATAAAAACACAGTTTTATTCTATTTTAAATAAATAAAAACACAGTTTTACTCGTTCTCTGTGTTTTTATTTATTTAAAATAATTTTCATATTTTTTGAAATCGATGGCATCTATCTCTGCTAGTGTATTTGTGTGTGGATGCGTGAATAATGACCACGGACGGCGAAATTTGCTGAACAGATGAACAAACATATTGTTTATGCATAGCTATCAAACGCACATGTGTACTTAGATTTGGTGTTTTATTCTTTTAGAATCATTATTTGGGATATTTTTTTTTTATCCTTTCTAACTTTTGAATTTGCTAAAATTCACTTTGAATTCACTATTCCACATACGGTTTTCCCCCATTCATTTATATTGACGGATCCAGAAATTTCAATAAAGGGGAAATCCCCGTAAAACCAATAGATTTAGCTATTTTGAGTTTTAAATCTTGAGTTTCACTACCATTAGTTTGTAACTTTCTGGCGGTCCCTAACCCCATGCAATCCGTAAATGATCACTGCACCAAATCAAATACCCCCCCCCCTTTCCCCCGCCATAAATAAATAAAATAGATAAATAATAATAATAATACTTCTTTATTTTAACATAAATTTTATGATATCGTTTCATTTGAAAGAAACTGGACAGGTTTTTCATTTTATTTCAAATGAAATGCCATGATCAGTCAGGAACTTTGAAGCTGCTTTTTTCTGGGTCTCATTCAACTTGCAGCCTATATTGCATCGTTGTTGTGGACCAACATGCTGCGAAACTACCATGGGGTCTTCTTTTGGCTTCAGCATCCAAGTCTTTGAAATGTTCATGCTCATAAGTCTAGATATGACGACGGCATTTTCCCTTTTAAGGTATGCTTTTCTTGTGCTGTTGTCATCCAAAACTGCGACAGCATTAGCGTCTTTGGGGTTATTTTCTTCTCTCCTTAAATAATACCCCGCTCCGACATGAAGGTGCCTTGCACCCCAGTGGTGCATACCGACAACCCATACACTAGGAATGACCAAGATAGGCATGCTAGAGTAAGAAAAATATTGTTGATAATCACACAAAAATCCAATATATTAAAGTAACAGTGGAAAAAGTGCCCTTCCCCCACCATCCCCGAAAAAATAAAAACCACAATGGGTGCAATTCGGTAATATGATTAAATTGATGTGCCTCTGATTTGGTTAAATATTGTAATTATGAGTATTTGTTCGTATGTTCAGCAAATAACACCACATATATTTGTCATTTCGTGACGAATTTGTGTGTCCGGAATTCCCCTAATATGTTATTTTTAGGTGGGGTAATTCCGGACACTAGCATTTTACTCGGGTGAAAAGTTTTGGTGTAAGATGATACAAAATCTATATTATTTTAAGTTTCCCTGATGACTTTATATCCAGAATACATAACAATTCAACACTACTTACCTCTACGAAGATAAAACGGCTTAATTCAAAATCGGGTACTCTTTGTTTATATTCCCGCGGTCAACGATACTGAGGAAAGTGAAAGTAGAGTGATTCTGATATGACGTAATTGTTTTCTTTTAATTTGTTTTAAACATTTATAAAATATATTTGGAACCCTGAAAAGGATGTTTGACACTAAAAACACATCAGAATAAAGACGAATTTGTTTTTTTTTTAATTATAAAACAGTATGTTGTTTATGGTAGATGACATCGTCCGGATTTACCCTGTGTCCGGAATTACCCGGATTGCCCCTAAAACATTGCAATATTACCGTTTCCTGGTATTAGTCTAACCCCATATTTAATCATGGCGGTAAAAGTATCAACAAGGTACGAAATCCTTCCATGTTTTCAACATTCATCACTACTTTTATGCTCTTTGCACTTGGATTTGGGAATAAATTTAAAGTATGACAATTTTATTTTTTGTTAGCGATGTCGGCGACATTTATTTTATAATCGATTAGTAGCATCGAAGAGCTTCTAACGACCGACAATCGATTGTCGGCGACAATCGTTCCATCACTATTTGAAACCTTAAAAATCATTTTCATGATATCATTTTTCAAGGCTAAACAGAAAATTTATTGTACAATAACATTTTTACTCTTGTATAAGTCATCAGAAGTTTCAATTACTTACTTTAGAGACTTGGTTTACGATTCCGTTTTCCCTCTAGATTCAACATTGGCGCCATCGATGGGATTTGACTTTTTAGTATTCCGATCCCGATTATTGCTTATTACATGTATAATCAGTGAATTTATATATAAAAAAAAAAAAAAAAAGGTACGGTCTTTTTAGGCCAAAGTTTAAATAAAATGACATTTAAATTTTTTTTAATCAAAAATTAATGGGAAAAAAGCGAAAAAAAAAGTTTGACACAAATAATGCTACGGCAATGTTTGAAAAGTTGTGTTGATCAAATGTGTACAAACAAATACTTCAAGGAACTCAGTATAAATTTTTAAATCACAAAACTCTTTCAAAATGAATCAAAAGATACCACTAACAAATATTTTATTTATTATTTGTATGTGTAATATATCTCAAAATATCATTAAATGAATATATATCTTAAATCAGCTCTTACTGAAAAATAAAAATTGACAACATAAAAGGCTTTATGAATAATATTCAACGTTAATTATCCGTTTTCTATACATTTCTAACATTCTGAGATAGTGTACACATTCTGATAAAATTTTAAACTGCTTCATGATCCCGGGATCAGGTCTTCAAGAATTTGTTGCATGTGGTACAGGCGCTTGACGTTTTCAACCTTCCTCTATAGTATGGGATATTTTAACAATGAAGAAGAAGGTTAAAAACGTCAAGCTATGGAATTCCATATACGACAGCCAACTGCTTACTGCCAACTGCTCACTGCTTACTGCCAAATGCTTACTGCTTACTGCCAAATGCCACTGCTCATAGACGATATTGCCTGTTTTGCTATCTTTTATATGCATAAACCTTACAATGTATGATTAGATTACAATATTAACACAAATTGGCGGATTCATGAATTTTAAAACAGTGGGGGCAAGGGCGGAAAAATAGGAGGAAAGAGTATTCCCTTTTAATTCCCACATTTCCTTAAAGGCAAATACCTGGTAATTCAATATAATTTCTGACGGGGGTATTTATTAAAGGCTTTTTATACGTCAGAAAAAAGGGGGGAGGGTAAACGTTTAGTAGGATCTTTGGTTACATTTGTTGGTATAATATTTTTAACCTGAAAAAATTATATATTATTGAGGAACATCTCGTCTGTCCTTAAATGTTTCTAAAAGTAATAATTGGACTAATGAAACATATGAAGATAACGAAATGTATTCAAGATCAAAAGTCCATAAAACAATACACAACAGGAGAACAAACACGGACCTCCATAGCATCAGAGGTGGGATCTGGTGCCATGGAGGAGTGAGCATCCTCTGCTGACCAGTCACACCCGCCGTGTGCTCCTTGTCATGATTGGAAAATAACAGAAAAACCCGTAGTCATTTCAGTGTATAAATAATGGGCTATAACAATTTTGTATTTACTGACAAGATCATTGTACACTGAGAGAATTACCTAGTTGATTTAACTAGTGTGCCTAGTAAAGCGTTCGTCGTGATTAGTAATCACTCTGTGTACTAACTAAGGTAGTGAAAAGTTGAGTGATGGTCGTAAAGATACTTACATACCTAGTGAAAGTTACTTATAAATTCTTAGATTTACTAATATTATCTAGTAAATCTACCCAATACCTAGTAAAACTACTTTTAAGGTAGTGATTGTATGGACAGTAAATTTACTAGTCTTCCCAGTGACTTTCAGTAGTTATTCTTTTTCAGTGTATCGACCATAGAACTTACGAAATGATGACTTTAAACGAGACTGCTGATTCTTGTTTGCATCAACTTTTTTGTCAATAGTTTACCTTGATTTAGAAAGAGTATGTACTTGCGTACCGAATCAACTGAGATATATAAACTCCATATGCAGGTGATGAAGGTATTTTTCCTCATAAGTAAGGAAAGTTGATAATTGTAAAGTTAAAGTCATCATGTTTTTCATAGAGCTTGGTTGTTAGATTACCATTAACGTCTTTTTTCAAGTAAAATATCTAAATATGAAGCATATGTGTCAGACTGTGGTATTTTTTATCTCAAGCTCATCGGGATACATCGTATCGATAAAAGAACAGAAATTACCATTGTTAATTGACAATATTTCGTCGAAATACTAATCTCTAAATGTTGAGTTGAAGGCCACAGCAAGTTTGTCGTCTTTTCACGTACAAGATTTGGGAAAAACTCTCCTTCATATGAATACAAAAATAGGTCTGCTATCAGCAGGGCGCAATTAATATCCATGGGAATCCCAAAAGATTTTGGGAAGACCTGGTCTCCAAAAACAACATAGATATTGTCAATCAGAAACTCCAGCATCTTCTTGATGTCAACTTCAGAGTACTTGTGTGTGCAATCAGAATGTTTTTTTAACAAAATAATTTTGCAAATGACCAATGACAAGGTAAGTAAATTTACGAGTTCCATTTTTATTGGAAAAGCGATTGTCAATAATCTAAAAAAAAGCCTGGACTTTATTTTATCGTGGGGAATGGTTGTGTATAAAGTTGAAAAGTCGTGTGTTTTTTAGCTGATGATTTTGGTAAAATCTTGTGATTTCAAATTGTCCAAAAGTTCCTTGGAATATTTAAGTAATAAGTATCCACATCTGATAAGCACCACTTTTTGAATATATTGTTGCACAGTACTCTTGGAAATTCTCATTCACTGCTGTTAATATCTTAGTGAGGAGTAAAGAAAGAGGCTTGTTAGAGTACTACTTACTAGAAATTGCTATGAATCTTTGTAAGGATTTTTATGAAGTATCGAAATCCAATATATATGGTAGATCAAATTCATTTTGGTTCTTAAAGATCGTAAAAATATTCAAAACTGACATAAGATTTTGAAGAATTTCTTTTTTCAAAAGGGAACTATGAGTATAAGTTGGATAACCACTTGTAGAATAAAATCCAAGTTCTCCTAGAATACAATTTATATAATTGGCCTTACAAATAAAGACAATGTTGTGACCTGCTTTGTCAGCAGAGACTAGTAGGTACTGATAGTGTAATATTTTTCCAAAAAATAAAGAATCATCCTTTGCATAGAAAAATGTATTTTTTCGTAGATGTACCGCCAATGCATGAATATTATGAAGCTTAAATCTTTACAAAATATAATTGTTTTTCATATCTAAATACATCAAAATAATTATCATGATATATATACAATAAAAGGGGAAAATTGTTTCATCATCATTATTTACACTTATATTGTAAGTCTATGTAAACGGCTACAATTCTGTTTTTCTCTCTATACTTCTAGAACTCAGCTATACGCTACAATGAAATACAGTAAAACAGGTAGTAGAGATAGGATGGTGACGTCCCGCCCCCTGAGGCCGGAGGATCCGCTTCGCTGCATTAACTTCCTCATCTCACAGTGCTCGGCCTTGGGAGGGTTGTCCTTCTGTGAGTGGTGCACCAAAAAATCACTGGTAATGCCGGTATAGAACGTACCATTAGTACTCAGTACGGTGGCCCTATGGTGAAAAGAAATCTTAATTTAAGTCGAGGTGTAATACGTCTGAAGATGTGTATGGCATTTCATTATCTTTCATAATATAATCATTTATTGATTTCAGTGGAGAACTTAAAATAATTAGTGCGAGAAATTCAAAATTAAACTTGTGAAAAATTGAAAATCAATTCTGAAATTTAGAAAGGAAATACATGGAGATAATGAACAGTATTCAAACTCCAAAAGTCCAATTAACAATACAATCTTTAAAGTAAAGCAAACACGGACCTCAGAAACCTCTAAAAAGAGGTGGGATCAGGTGCCATGGAGGAGTGAGAGGCTAAGGTTTAATTTAAATTTGAAATGAAAGAATGTCAGGTTGCCATTCCTGATTAAACCGTTTGCTGAAGTTCAGTTTCTTAATTCACTCACACGAAGTAGAGCGTTCTGTTCTCCTGCTCTGAAGGAGGGGTCCAGTCTATGGCGACCTGTATCAACCCTTCCTTGTCCTCTTTGAGAACGCCAATAGCAACCCCCTGAAACACAATGAAAACCATTTAACACTAATTGCTTGAGAAGAAGATTTATAAAGATTTTTCCTATATTTCCTATGTAAAACTTTGATCGGCCATTTTGGCCCCACCCAACCTCCGGGGGTCATGATTTGAACAAACTTGAATCTACACTACCTGAGGATGGTTGTCCTTTTTGATTCCACATGAGTTATAAATATATCTTTCCTTTTCAGTAACTCTGTTCAACATTTTAGGGGCCCAGTGGTTCTTGAGAAAAAGATTTTTAAAGATTTTTCCTGTATACTCCTATGTAAAACTTTGGTTGGCCATTTTGGCCCCACCCTACCCCCGGGGGTCATGATTAGAAAAACTTGAATCTGCACTACCTACAGATACAAATAGGATGCTTCCACATGAGTTTCATCTTTCCTGGCCCAGTTGTTCTTGAGAAGAAGATTTTAAAAGATTTTTCCTATATATTCCTATGTAAAACTTTGATCGGCCATTGTGGCCCCACCCTACCCACGGGGGTTATGATTTGAACAAACTAGAATCTACACTACCTGAGGATGCTTCAACATGCGTTTCATCTTTCCTAGCCCAGTGGTTCTTGAGAAGAAGATTTTTTAAAAGTGACCTTAATTTTTCACTACTAGTATTTCCTAATTATCTCCCCTTGGAAGAGGGCATGACCCTTCATTTGAACAAACTTGAATCCCCGTTAATTATGTTTTGATGTTTAATATGAAAATTTAAAAGTTTTTACCCAAGGATACTTTGTAGCAAGTTTGGTTGAAATTGGCCCAGTGGTTCTTGAGAAGAAGATGAAAATGTGAAAAGTTTACGACGCCGACGACGACGCCAACGACGACAGACGACGGACAAATTTTGATCAGAAAAGCTCACTTGAGCCTTCGGCTCAGATGAGTTAAAAAGGAGTATAAGATTTGCATGTATTTAAAAATACAAGATTTTTCCAAGAATCACTACATAATGTAGAACAATACGTTAATTGTGTTTTGATGTTTAATATGAAAATTTAAAAGTTTAGAGATTGTAATCAGTATTAATGGGAACAAGATATATATGAGAAACACTATGCGCCCGGTGGCAACAAAGTTCCAAAAGGCTATTTTTAGCATATAGGTCACAGTCAAGGTCACAAGGTCATTGACCATCGAGTTATTTGAAAGAACTAAATTAGTGGAGAAGGCATACCAAATATGAGGTCTTTATCTTCTATGGTTCAAAAGTTATAGCTAAGGTTCGAAAAAGCAATTTTTACATACAGGTCACAGTCAAGGTCACAAGGTCATTGACTTTGGTGTCATTTGAAAAAACTAAATTAGTGAAGTATGCATACCTGTATGAAGTTTCTATCTCTCGTAGTTCAAAAGTTATGGCGAAGGTTAAAGGTTGCAACAGACAGATAAACAAACAGACAAACAGATAAAACAAACAAACAGACACACAGGACAAAAACAATATGCATCCCGATCTATCGATCCGGGCGCATAAAAAGACGTATTGTCACTCACATTAGCTAGTGAGTTGGAACATTTGACGGTGTGTAGGAAGGGTGATATCTGTCCCTGTTGGAATATCCCTATCGCTCTCTGGTGATCCGTATCCTTACAGTCCGCTATCCTGGCCTGTAATAGAGCTCCTCGGAGAGGATAGTCAGATTGGAAAAACTTCTTGGTAAATACCTTAACTGAAAATAATGCATAATTTTACATTCGAAACATCTGTAAAAGTTGCAATTCACAAGTGAGATGAAAAAAGATATCTTTATGTATTATTTTTAAATGTTGTATACATGTACTCCTTAATTGTCATCACTGTCACGCTCACTTAATTCAAAATTTATTTCCCTTTCTCCTCTGCTCTTTATCCCCATTTCCTGGAATCTCACCTTATCCTTATTTCTTACTATGCCGATGCATAGACCTGTACACTCTCCATAATTTTTGGATTCAGCTTCCCAAATTTTTGCGACATTTTCCAAAAATTCTCGAACCCGTAATTTAATTATGAAGTTTGAAAGTACTTTAAAACAAAAGTAATGAATGGGCCAATCTTACCATTTATAACTGAATTTGTATCATACTCTGTAGGGTTAAACTCGATATCAAAAGGTTCCTGAGATTCCAGCATCTGGGCATTCGTAGCATCCTCTCCTAGTGACTCCGGGAACATGTCCTTACATTCTCTAGAGTTTAGGTAGAACGGGTACTCATCCACGGGCCTCAGGAGGTGGACAGGGCGGGTCGTTAGGGTGAGAGACAAAAGACTGCATAGCAACCAGGACTCCATCTCATAAAGAAGAACTATAGGTTAAACATTAAAAATGGAAACATATCTGCTTATTTTTGCTTATTTTTCTTCTAAATTAAAAGAATTAGAAGGACTTTGAAAATGTTCCTTGTGCTTGACCAGATACGTAGAGTCTCAGCTGGCAAGGCACCAGAAGCATGCATACCAAAAGAATACAATCGTTTCTACATCTTAAAGAATCAGTGGCTGTAAACAATTACATACATTACATATTGTGGACGAAAAAATTCTTACCTTCCTGTCGTAATTCTGCTCCCTCTACATGTAAACACAGTAACAGCGTAAGAGATGAAGTCGTACACGCCTGGGAGGGTTGTAGTCAGACGTCGTTTGAAGTCTGTCTCCCTTATGAACTCTGACATCATTCATCAGATAAACCCAGCCTCGGGAAAATTCACGGGGACCTTGACAGATTCTCCCTCTCAAAGTAAACCACACATGTACTCTCAATCCCTTCATCTGTCGTAAATGTCAGCTTAATTATAAATTCATTGTTGAAGTAACCCTCATTGCGTAATCATTATTGTTACTGTAGTAATTCTTGCTAATTTTGTGCATATTTTCATATGTTTTTTTTTCTTGCGAGTTGATATAAGTAACCTCAAGCACCGAATAAAATACTTCAAATTATAAGTTTAGCTGAAGGATATTTACAACAGCCAGATCTTTTGAAGGCAAAATTGTGCTATAGTTCAAAAACTTGTCATCCAGGGGTCATGGCCAAGAAGGTGATGGTGTTTAAAGCACTTCCGTTCTATAAATATGATGCGAACACGGCTTTGTTCTACAAATTTCCGCAAGAAATGAAAGTCTATTGAATATATTAGAAATGATTATAATCAGACTGATCTATATAGGTTGAGAAAATGGCATTTTTATTTTTAGAGAAAGTGACACCAATTTACATATAGTAAAGAAACTTTTAAGTCTCAATTATGTGAAAAACTAATTAAGTTATCCGAAAAGTGCATTGATCAAAACTATTAATAATTTCAATTTTATATAAAAGTGAACTTTTCAGTCTAGGTGTTAGACCAGCTAAATTTCATGAAATTCAAGTGTGTTCCTTCTGCAATTAATATTCGACCGTGTTTCTACAGTAAAATTCCACATGTGACATGTGGTCATTACCTTTTAGGAATATGTATTCTTCAAAAAATCTTCCAATAGAAGCTGATAATTTGCAGGTCATTTCTCGAATCCAACCAATTTTTTTCTTTTTCAACAATGTTGAAAAACTAAATATAAATATTCTGACTTTTTAGCATTCCAAATAACTCTTGAAAATGTGCAAACAGTTAGTTTACAGATATACATAGAAAAATCAATTCAGAGGAAAAAATGTTTCAAATTTAATTATATTATTTACACACTGAATTGCGTACATATTATTTTCCTGTTTTCCCGATCATGACGAGGAGCACAAGGTTGGTGTGACTGGTTGACAGGGGATGCACCTGTCCCCATAGCACCTGATCCCATTTCTTAGATCCGTTTATGCTTTGCTTCTGATTTGTATTGTTTGAATAGACTAATGAGCTTGAATACTGTTTGTTGTTTCTTCATATTTCATTCAACCTATGTCCCAGAGGTAGGAAAGTGATCACAAACAGAACAAGGTTCACACAAATTTTTTTCTTATATCCTTTTCACAAGCTTCTCACAATTTAGCTAGTCAAAGGTGCATGTATGCATTAGCAAATTGTGTATATTATTGCATAGACCACTCTGTTATGAATACGTCTTGGTGTTTGCCATGTCCGTCTTCATCCATTTGTCCTTCCATCAAACTATGCGATTTGCTCAGTTTTAAAAAAAAATTATCTAACTCTTAATTTCGAAGAATTTTTTATCACACTTCATTTGCGAAAAAACATTGATCAGAACTGTTCAACCGCATCAGCAATATTCACCTTGGTCTTTCCGTTGACCTTGGTAGACTTATCTTCATTAATTAGGCCCAGTTTTAAAGAATAAAATATATGGAGATAATGAACAGTATATTCAAGTTCAAAATTCAAACACAAATCAGGAGCAGAGAAAACAAGGACCCCTAAAACATCGTAAGTGATATCAGATGCCATGGAGGAGTGAGTATCCCCTGCCGACCTGTCATACTCGTCGTGTGCACCTTGTAAGTATTGGGAACGACGGGAAAATCCGTCTACAATAGACTAACAATAGCATGGAAAACGTTAGTAAGCGATTGTTAATGACAGATTGTATTTACTTGCGTATCGAATTAACTGAGAGATATAAACTCCGTGTGCAGATGATGAAGGTATATTGCTTCATAAGTAAGAAAAGTTGATGATTGAAAAGTCATCACATTTATCATAGAGCTTGGTTATTAGATTATCATTAAGTCATTAATAAGATATCCAAAAGTGAAACAGAAGTGTCAGACTCTATGATATCTTTTTATGTAAAGCTCACTAGTATTCATCGTTCGGAATGAATATCACGAATTGATAATACATCGTCGCTATACTAGTACCGAAATGTTGAGTTAAAGGCCACAATAAGTGTTTTCCTTCTTTCATGTATTGGATTTTGAACAATTTCTTGCTTCATATTAATACAAAAATAGGTTTGGTATTAAAGGGGTGCAATTGTTACCCTTAAGTTCCGATAGATTGTTGGGAATACCAGATCTCCAAATACCATCAACATGTATCAATCAAAATCTTAAGCATCTTTTTATATCAACTTCATGATACTCCTGTGTGCAATCAGAATATTTTAGTAAAATGACTTTGTAAATAACCAGTGACAAGGTGTGTAAATTAACGAGTTCCATTTTTATTGAAAAAAGCAGCTGTCAAAAAGCATGGATGAAACATATGGAGACTATTCAAGATCAAAACTCTACAAAAACAATTCAAAATAGGGGCAGAGCAAACACGGACCTCCATAACATCAGAGGTGGGATCAGGTGCCATAGAGGTGTGAAAATCCCCTGCTGACCAGTCACATCCGCTTTGTGCTCCTTGTCATGATCGGGAAATAACAGAAAAATCGGTTTCAATTCAGTGTATAGTGAGTATGAAAAACGTAAATCAGCATTTTACTCAACGATAAATTGTATCTGGTGACAAGTTTAAGGTTATTGTAAACTTTACATTGGGAAAAGTGGTATAAAGTGTAGAAAATTGCACGTTTAAATTTTATAGATTTTGGTAAAATTTTGTAATTTCAAATTTCTCTGACAGTTCCTTGGAGTTTTTAAGTATCCACAGCTGATTTACACTACTTCTCAATATATATTGTTGCAGAACTTAATATCTAAGTTAGGAGTAAAGAAAGAGGCTTGTTAGAACCTTTTCTAGAACCCGCTTTGTAATTTTTTTGTTTGTAAGGACTTTTATTCTTATGAACTTTCGGATGCCAATAGAGAAATTTTAATTCGAAATCATTTTGATTTTTTTAAATGTAAAAAAATATATTAAAAAGAGATCTATTATGAGTTTGAATAATTTCTTCCTTAGGAGGGTAGTTGGTTAGTTGGATTACCACTTGAATTAAATCCCAGTTTCACAATTGAAATGATGAGCATTACAAAGACAATATTGTTATCAGCTTCGGTACTTGACATGACCAGTACATACTGGTCGTGTAATATAATTCTTTTTTCACATTTGAATTATTGAACACAGGATAGATGATTTTTATCTTGTCCCTAAATTTCTTAATGCGAGATTTTAACAGACATCTAATAAAAATTATTTATCATAATTTTTTTATGATATTTACACAAGAAATGCAAAAGTGCATACTGTTAAAAATAAATACAAAGTGATGTTTTTCTCATTCAAAGTATTTATAGCACTGCTAAATTTGAAATGTTATTTTTCCTTGTAGACTGAACACTGAAGTATTTAGAAATGAACTTTTATAAATTCTTTTATCATATTCTGACAATTATAACAAATTTATTCTGAATTTCCAGACAGAGAAAATAGCCTCCGTTTTAACTTAAAATTCACACTTTTAAAATAATATCTTTAAAAAAACCTTTATTAAAATACATTTGATTTTCCTAATTTTTAAAACAAATTCAGTAAAATTTTTACACCTTAATATAAAAAAGCTCTTTTACATGATAAATACTAAATGCCGGAAAAATTACACTACGTGAGTACAGAAAAGTCAAATTTATTTTAAAGACTTCTGATAGCAGGATTCAGTCTCCTTTAGAGTAGGAAAAAAATTACAAAAGCCTTTCAAAGATAGCATAGAAAAGTCCCTTTTAAATCCTTTCCTCAAGAATATCCGCTTTCAAATGCATATAATTATGTGTCCACTTTTTAGATTAAGTAAAGTTTGTTAAAATCATGGTTCTTTTGATTGGATGAGGTTTGTTAAACTTTAAAAAGAATGTGGGAAAGATCTTTCTAGAATCAAAGCTTTGGCGATTCTGAATATTCATTAAATTGAAGAAGATATCACTATTACAAAAGAAATGTATAACAAATTATTAAATGAGTAATATATTTTTCCTCGATACAGTGTAACATGCAGTCATTAAAACCATTCAAAGGTTAACAAGCGTTTACCGGGGCTTATAAACAAACTCTTAAGTCAAATGATTTTTCTTTTGTTTCCATTTAAACTGTTTACATGCATTCCAACGTCACGTATAATCCTAAAAGAGAATTATGCATAAGAAAAACCCGGCACTTGGACATTAATTATGCACTTTCCCGACAGGTGGTAGGTTGTCAAAGGCCAGAACAATGGACGACGACAGCAAGAAACAAACAAACAGCCAGAGAACAATTGGACAGAACTAAGGGGTAAATAACTCCCGTGGTGGTGAGTCGTCTCTTCGTATGGCACGCCAAATTCACAAAAATGAGATAAACCTAGTTTCACAATTGATAAACTAGGTTTACCGAGTGTAAACTATAGTTTACAAACCGTAAACTATAGTTAACGATTCGTTAAGTATAGTTTTCATCTGTAAAACTATATTTAACGGTTGTTAACTATAATTTACGAATGATAATCTAAGTTTATCTGTCTGTAATAAGCGTTAACAATAGATTTTGTTGATAAACATAGATTCACATTTGTAAACTATAGTTTACAATCGTAAACTATAGTTAAGAGTTGTTAATCATAGATTCACAAATCGTGAAACTATATTTATCAGATCGTTAACTATAGTTAACGGTTTGTAAACTGTAGTTTACAAATCGTGAAACTGTATTTATCAGATAATCTATGTTTTGCAATCGCATATGATTGTTTTCAGTGTTAAGTATAGTTTACGGTTGTGAAACATAGATTATCGCGTTAACTATAGTTTACAGATGTAAAATATAGATTAACCACTTCTGTGCCACAGGGCCGATTTTGGGCCGATCACACAGTTGCGTAGAGTGCCACGGGGCCGATTTTGGGCCGATTTTATTGAAATGAATTGTGACTATGTATTTCTTTTATTTCTAATCAACGTAAACAATTATTCAACTTTTGCATCTTTTTATTGCATAACATAAAAGGTTTTATGGCTTATTTGTAGAATATCATGAAAATTTCAGGCAAATATATGGAGAAACAAAGTGAATTTCATACCAGCGATGACCCATGCATTTTTGAAATAAATGAGTTGTTACTTGTAATACCGGTATAGTTACAATTGAATATGCTCAATGAACACGATTTCATTTCAAAGGTTTATTTTCATTTACTATTATAAATTCAGGGTATTTATATTGAGGTACTACTCGTCCATTTAGCAGCAACGGATAGAATCAACGTCATTTTACGTAAATGACGTCATAGTAACAAGTACGTGAAAGCCAAACCTTGAGAAAAAGTTCAGAGTTAATAGATTACCAGTAACTATTTAATTGAGGCATTTAGCTTGATTGACTGATTGTTTAATTCCGTGATTATAATATGGCCAAGTTTATTTTATTATATTGCGTATGAACAAATTAAAATTTATTTCCGGTTTCGTTTTCTTTCCTGTTTTCGATGTATTTTTCGTAAGTTTCCTAAATGCAGATTTTACATGCTGCTACTCAACTAAAAGCACCTAAAAATAAAACATATTGGATATATAGATATTGAAAGGATAACCTAAGCTAATAAGTTCAAATGTTTATTTTTGCTTTAATTGTATTCGGAAATTTTAATTTTAATCAATATTTCTTTTTTTTTTTGTTCTGCATTGACTTTATTTATTACATACCGGTATAAATTTTAATATTTCATAGATTTTTGTTTAACAAGACGCACGAATTCAATGTATTACAGTGAAAGGAGTTAATATGATCACTTTCATATGACCATTTTTTTCCCCAGAATTTTAATGGAAAATAATCATGCAA